ACGGAGCACTCGGTCCCCCCCCCCCCCCCCAGGAGCACCATGACGACTGGAAGTAGTGCTGCTGTCCAAAAACGCAGCAGGAAGTTTATGCAGCAGACTGCATCGCCTGTAGACTGCATCTTCTGTAGACTGCATCCCCGGCCCATGCACGGACCCCCTTTGAAAGCTCAGCTAGCCGACAATCATACACGTCAATCCGCCTCGTCGCAGCTTACGCTGGTGAGGTACACAGTGGAAGTTTCTCGTGAAAGTTCGCACAAAAATTGGTTCCGAGTCCAGATGCAGGCAGTCGCTATGCGACCACTCCCCGCCTTCACGGAAGCTTCCTATCAAGGCGGTTCGAACACACCGAGCTGACTGCTTCACAGATTAAGCTGCTCCCTTCTCAACAGGACACGCTTGCGCCCGAACATGTGCGGTTCGTCGCTGTGTCTGCTCACCACACGACCCACTAAAGTTCCAATAGGTCCTCAGACGCGGCGAATCTTTCAGCCACGACGCCACTGACATCGTCATTCTTGGGTTTCATCTTTGGTCTTCTATTTCAGAAGCTTCTCTTCTGAAATCGAGGCCGCGTCATCGTCAGCCGCCCCTGTCTGTGGCGGTCGACCTCTTCACCGTCTCTGTTTTTAGCTCCCTCTTCACTGTCCAACTTCTCACTGTCTCTGTTTTCAGCTCCCTCCTCAGGGTCGAACGCTTCACCGACTCCGCCTCTGTTTTTAGCTCCCTCCTCAGGCTCGAACTCTTCACCGTCTCCGCCTCTGTCTTTGGCTCCCTCCTCAGGGTCGAACTGTTCACCGTCTCCACCTCTGTCTTTGGCTCCCTCCTCAGCGTCGAAATGTGCACCGTCTCCACCTCTGTCTTTGGCTCCCTTCTCAGGGTCCAACTGTTCACCGTCTCCGCCTCTGTCTTTGGCTCCCTCCTCAGGGTCCAACTGTTCACCGTCTCCGCCTCTGTCCTTGGATCCCTCCCCGGAGTCGAACTGTTCACCGTCTCCGCCTCTGTCCTTGGATCCCTCCTCAAAGTCGAACTGTTCACCGTCTCCGCCTCTGTCCTTGGATCCCTCCCCAGAGTCGAACTGTTCACCGTCTCCGCCTCTGTCCTTGGCTCCCTCCTCAGGGTCGAAATGTGCACCGTCTCCACCTCTGCCTTTGGCTCCCTCCTCAGGATCGAACTGTTCACCGTCGTCTTTGGCTCCCTCCTCAGGGTCCAACTGTTCACAGTCTCCCCCTCTGTCTTTGGATTCCTCCCCAGGGTCGAGATGTTCACCGTCTCCGCCTCTGTCATTGGCTCCCTCCTCCGGGTCCAACTGTTCACCGTCTCCGCCTCTGTCCTTGGATCCCTCCTCAGGGTCCAACTGTTCACCGTCTCCGCCTCTGTCTTTGGATCCCTCCTCAAGGTCGAACTGTTCACCGTCACCGCCTCTGTCCGTGGCT